AGTCAGTAAATGCCACCTGCCCGCATCCCTCCTGCCAGGGCCCTGCCACCTCCCCGCTCCCCCCTGCCCGCAGCCCCGGGCAGCAGCCCCCGGCCCGGCTCTGGCAGCTGCCTGGTGCCATCTCGTGGTTAAATAACTCCTCCGGAGCAACCCTGTTTCTGTCCTGCCAGATCTTCCACCAGCAAGGAAGGAAAAACTCCGGTGTGAATTTTTAGCAGGAGGTTTCTGCATGCCTGCGCGGGCGGACGCCTGCAGCGGTGGGTAGAAGCGCCGGTCGGTGCCCGTTGGGAAGGGGCTGAGCCATGTGTGTCTCACCTGACCTCCCCCTTCATCTGGGGATGGTTTTTACCACCTCCTGTTTCTGCAGGGGAGCACCTCGCTGCGTTTCGCACCCGGGATGGCCAAGCCTACGTGGTCAACGCTTACTGCCCTCACCTTGGCGCTGACCTCGCCGCCGGCGGGCGCGTCGTCGGCAGTTGCATCGAATGCCCGTTTCATGGCTGGCAGTTCCAAGGAGAAGATGGAAAATGCACCCGCATCCCGTACGCTGAAAAAGGTGAACATCCCCCCAGAAAGCATCTGCAGAAACGGTGGCGCCCTGTGTGTCCTCGTTAAAAGCTACTTTGTTAAGGAACTGGGGTCTTTATAATAACACACCCTCCGCCCTGCCCCCTGATTTCATGCAGCACCCTAATTTTCCTCCTGGGTTGTCCATGCTGAGGCATAATGTTCCAGTACCCTTTCCTGTGCTAGATGCTAACTGGGACTTTAGTCTAGTCCAAGAACCTGCCTTGCTTTTGATAGTCCTCAACTCCTGCATTCAGCAAGAGGGGTAGAAAAGACGATTTTTTAACTCGGAGTCATCCATTGCACCAGCAAGGATGGATCCAGAGGAGCTGCTGGGTTCCCAAAATGATTCGGTACTCTGTGGCGGTACCTTATACCACGTCAATGTTTGAATCTGTCACATTAGCCTGACAGAATAGTCTCTCAATGGAAATTTTTTCTCCTTTTAAGGCTAGAAGGGAATTTTTGGTTAGAATCCAGGAAAGCTCTTTGCATACACCGACCATTAAATGTTGTTTGCGTTGACTGTGTGGGAAGAGTATCTTAAAGTTCACCCGTAACAATTACTTGATCTGGCTGCGCTGCTTAGTTTAAATCACCAATTCTAAACGTGGCTCAAACCAGCAAACAGATGTTGAGTTTTGGTTTGGCTTCTGCTTCTTAGTTATTTTCCTCGAGTTCGGCTTTCTCTGATTGGGATTGATCGGGTTGGCGATGAAAGCACTGATTAGCAGCAAAACTCAGTCTTTCTACTAAATAGTATTTTTCGCGAAGTGGAAGAAATATTCCGTCCATATGTATTAAGATAAACAATTTACGGATCTCATCAAACAGATTTTTTTTTTTTCCAGAAAAAGGATTAGTACTGTATTTTTTTTTTCCCATATGTACTCACTCAGGAGCTGCATTCGAAAGAAAATTTGGTTCCAAGAAATGATGTGTTTTATCACAAAATCAGAATGACTGTTCTGGACACGCGCAAACGCTTGCCAGGATGCCTTTTTTTCATCTGAAAAGGCTGTATTCCGAGTCGTTGTTATCCGTAGTTATTGAAAGAATGAAGCGGCAGAAGCTGCCCTGCTCCCACTACAGCCCAAATGGGTCAGGATGATTTAAACAGATTTAAAAGCCGTTTGGGCTCATGCAGGTCACTTGGGTGGAGGGGTATTTTGGAGAGTTTGGGCAGCTCCTCCAGCACTGGGCTTGCAGGGGACTGACAGTGGGGCAGGAGAGGCACAGAGCCCAGCCTGGTGCGAGATGGAGCTGGTGGAGGGTCTGGAGCACAAGTCTCATGAGGAGCAGCTGAGGGAACCGGGGTTGTTGAGCCTGGAGAAGAGGAGGCTGAGAGGAGACCTTCTTCCTCTCTACAACTACCTGAAAGGAGGTTGTAGAGAGATGGGGGTCGGTCTCTTCTCTCAAGTAACAAGCCATAAGACAAGAGGAAATGGCCTCAAGTTGCTCCAAGGAGGTTTAGATTGGATATTAGGAGAAACTTTTTCACTGAAAGGGTTGTCAAGCACTAGAACAGGCTGCCCAGGGCAGTGGTGGAGTCACTATCCCTGGAGGTATTTAAAAGCTGTGTAGATGCAGTGCTGAGGGACATGGTTTAGTGGTGAACTTGGCAGTGTTGGGTTAACAGTTGGACTGGATGATCTTAAAGGTCCTTTCCAACCTAAATGATTCCATGATTCTGTGTCTGCATGGGGGCAGATGAAGCCCTCTAAAGTGTTGTGAGCTGCATCCCACCCAAAGCACCAGATCTTTTCAATCAGAAATCGCAGTGAAGGTCTCCTGCTCCCTCTGATATTCATTGACTGAAAGAGAAATATAATTTCTCCTCATATTTCACTTCCCACATGGCTGTACAAGGCTGAACAATAAGGAATCTCTATCCTTTGTGCTTGATGCTCACCAGCCTGGGCTGCGGCACCAAGGATGCTGTTGCATCTTCCGCAGCCAGGAGGAAATGGCCTGCCTCTTGTAGGCAGGATAGGTACCTTGAGTTGATTAGTAATTAGTTCATTATCTCAACTCAGTCCAGCTGGGTAATAATGACTGGATGCCATAATTCCCCCTTTTTGTTTTACCATGTTTTGTTTTCACAAAGGCTTTATGGTGAGCAGAGACCCAGCCCATTCATACAACTCCAGCACGCTTCCCTCCCACGAATACCACGTCAGGGCTTGCGGCTTTACCTTCTTCTCCGAAGGACTCTCGCTCGGGCTCCCGGCCCCCGCTCTCTTGTCTCAGGCTCCC